AACAGTCAGCTGGTCACTGCTTGAAGGTCTCAGGCAGCTGTGATTATTAGTACATTAGTACAAGTTCTTCCACTTCTTTAATAATGGTGCTGCACTCAGATTATAATTTTTTTTTTTAGGTGGAGGAAACATTGAGATCAAAAACGAGAAGCTGGAGTTTAAAGTTCAGTCCAAAGTGGGCTCTCTGGGCAACATCAGCCACGTTCCTGGAGGCGGGCTGAAGAAGGTGAAGTACAAACCCACCGACGCGCTCTCTGCAGGCTAAAAGCAAAACGCTCAGGGCACCGTGGCGCTTCGTCACAGTTCTGTACGGAGATCAATCCGTGCCAAGAAAAAAAATCGGAAAACAAACATTTTGATCTTCACTACATTCAAATTTTTACAAGCTTTTCCTTTTATTCCTCTTACAAGTTAAACATCAGATTTTTTGCATTTATTTGTTTACTGCTAATGCAGTTTAAATGCTGTATGGAAGACACTGGATCGCTTGCTGGAGGAAAAGTGAAACTGATCGTAAAATAAAAATATTTAAAACTGTGAAAGATAAAAAATGAGACATAAAATTTGCAGCTAAAAACTTTAAAAGCATCATATTTACTAATGAAATAAAAAAATAAATAAAAACTGAAAGTACATAGACAATATACACATATAATTAAAGTTCAATTTAAATTAACTAAAGTTTGGCACCATTTGGCCTCAAGCATGTTTCAGTGCTCGGCTCTCTTCTTCGAAAACCAGCTTTCAGCTCCGTCTCTGTGGGTGAAACACAATCAGCAGCACAGAAACAGCAAAACCAAAACCAGCGAGAACATTTCAGCTGATCTCGAACGGCCACGCTGACGTCCGTGAGGGTGTCACACACACAGCAGCTTTTAGAGCTTTTTTTTTCTTGGTTTTCCTGCTTTTTCCCTCCTTTGTTCAAGCTTCCATTTTCTTCATCCTGCTGATTTTCCCTTCATTTGAAAGTTTTCGCTGTCGTTGTTGTCAAATTTCACTGTTGTGACAGCGTTTTGGGGTCACTGGAACTAAATGTTTAAAGAGGTAAAGTTAGCAATATCTATGTGAAAAAAATGGTAATGTATGAGAAAAACAGTGAATAATTTAATAATAATAAATTTGTTTGTTTCTTTCTTGTAATTTTATCACAATTTTCTCATATATTCATCAGATTTTTCTAATAGTTTTTCTAATTTTACCAATTTTCTCCTTTAAAATGTCTTTTTTATCTCAGAAATTTTGTCTTTTTCTTGTAAAATAAGTTAAAATTCTTTAAACTTTAAAATTCTGGTTATATTCTCTGAATTTGACTCCTCCCCCAAGCTCCTCACATTCTTTTATTTACCTTCAGCGGCCCTGAGACGCTGTGCTCCATTTTCTCATCAATTGTTTTATTTTATTTATTTTTCATTTCTGTTAAAACCATCACGTGTATTTTTGTTGCATGCCTTTTTATTTCCTTGCTGGGGCTCCTCTGTAGAGGGAGAAGGGGAAAGACGGAGAGGGGAGCACCTCAGACAGCCCCTCGGTCCTCTCCCCCGCTGTCACCCCCCCTCAGTCACCTCCGACTGTCCCTTCAGCACCCATCACACCCATCCTGACGAACCCTCTCATAAAGATTGAGGACTCCTGTAAGTACCTACAAGCTGCTTCATCTCAGACTAGTGCTGATTATGAGTTTTCAGGATCTGAGGCCTGTGAAGCTAACCTCACATCACCAGTCAGGCCAAGAGGTCATTCACACAGCCAGAAACCTCCTGCAACCGCTCTGCAACCATCGACGGAGGCGGCTCGCTGGTTGCAGACCAGTTTCCTTTAACATTTAAAGAAATGTTATGAACACGGAAGCTGTAAACGTCTTTATTCCTGTTGCATGCATGCAAACTGTACCTCATGTGCACACAGTTTTGATGGTTTTGGCCTCTGTAGACTTGAATAAACAGCTGAGGGCGAATCATAACGCAGGAAATTAAAAGATTACGTATCATCAGTCCTTAAAAATCAGAAAAATCCAGGCCATGGCCGATCTGATGTCTGACCTTCACCTCCGATCTCGCCACAGATTGAGAGCCACAAACTGAACTTCCGCGAGACAGCCAAGGCCCGCACTGACCACGGCGCCGAGATCGTCTCCTTGGAAGACTCCCCTCACCAGCTCAGCACCGTGTCCTCCTCTGGCAGCATCAACATGACCGACTCTCCACAGCTCTCCACGCTGGCCGACGAGGTGTCCGCCTCCCTGGCCAAACAAGGCTTGTGAACGCGCCCGCCGCACTCCCCGCCTCGACCGCACGACCACGTAGAGGAGTTGTGATGCCTTCCTCGTTACTTTCACAGGACTTTTATTTGATTTTTTTTTAGCTGCCCGTCACCGTTTATCCTCCACTAACCTTTGAATCTCGTCGAGGCGTTGCTATTAGAGGTCTTAAAAAAGAAAACAGATTAACCAGTAGGCCAACATGTATTGAATATCTCTCTGTGGTCTTTGATCTCTGCACTTAATTTGAACCTTTTGTAAGTGTCCCTTTAAGAGTTAAAGCACCCCAGCAGAGCGAAATCCTCCCTCTGAGGATCTCCATGCATATCCCGTTAAATCGTCTCGACTCGGTTTCCCGTCACATTGACTGTGAACCCTTTTAGAAGTGTATCTTATCAGCGTCACCTTCGACGGGTGTCCCCTGATTCTTTTTTTATTTATTTATTTTTTGATAAAAAACAGATGAAGATGGAGGTTAATGCAGACTGTTTGTGGGACGGGGGTGGGGGTCCGTTTGTGCTAAAGCAGAGGGTCCGGTGAAGTGGGCGGAGGAACAGTTAGAAGAAAAAGTAGCAAATATTTCTCGTCGAGGCAGAAAAGAAAAAGCTTTCAGACCTCACTGCTGTCTTTGCTTTGTGTAGTCCTGACATGTGCTGCACCTCGAGCTACTGCAGGAGACTGCGGGGTGGGAGGGGCCAGAAGTGAGACCGCGGAGACGACGGCGACTGATTACGGGACGCGCCGAGCTCAGATGTTCGTTCAGAAGAAAGAGAGAAATTACACTTAACGGAGGGCTGAGAGAGGCCTTGACCAACGGCAGCTGTGCTGTTTAACTCCTCCCTGCTTAATCGGAGAAACATGGCCGAGTGTGCATCAGACGGGAGTGAGGGGGATCTTCTAACGGCCATTGAAACATTTGTTAACCGATAAATACACCGAAGCATCAGGTTTTTGTAGTTTTTAGTAGCTGGCTCGTTGTTGCGGCGACGATACGGTAAAGCTGTGCTGTCTGCTGCGACCTCGAGGGTCGTCCTGGTTTTACTACAGTGGATGTCAGCAGAGTCTAAACTAAACCCGCCACAGGTTTGACATTTAAACCATTGGAATCGCAGCGGAGAGCACGAGCACGTCACCACCAGCTCCCTCTGCCATTCGCAGGGTTACAGCGTGGTGGCACTGTCACAGGTTCAAACTTCCACTGCAGACGTGTGCTGCAGCACGCTGGGAATATTTCACCTTAAATATGGAAGTTAAAGGGCCGGTCAAGTGTTGTAAGAACACTAAAGCGAAATATTGAAAATTTCAAAAAACAAAATGTCCAAAAGTGTGAAAACCCAACATTTGTTCTTCGGTTTTATTTGACTTGTTTAAGCTGTTTTTTGTTCCCCGCTGTTTCCTGTTCTCTGCTGACCGTGTGAGTCGTTCGGCTCAGAATGATCCATTATCTGAGCTCGGTGACGAAGCGACGGGCCGCTGCCTCTCCGCGGTCTCATTTCTGACCCCGCGTCGTAGGTGAGGGAGGGGGAGGGGAGCGTTACCTGGATTTAAAAAAAATACAGAAAAAAGACGAAGTGAAGAGCTAGAGTAGAGTTTGTGTTGGGCACAGTTTTATAATCGTACTCTGTGGATATATGACATGTATTTGATATGAAGAAACATTTGTATCGTGCCTGCTACTGTCAGTGTTCTTTTTTTTTACTGCTCTGTGTAAATGCGCTACAGCTCGAGGAGGGAAAATTAACCTTAAAGTGACATTTTCATAGCTAAACTGCGAGGAGGAGGCTGAGAA